GGAGAATAGTGATGCTTCTAGTTGCTTCATGCAAACCAAGATAAGCTCCAGCTAGATGAGCCACTTGGCTTTGACTACAGACTTTACCTTTTTACCTTACAGTGCCATCCATCTTTCAACAAGAACAACAACAACAGCGTTTATTTAGACATGATAAAAAAAATTCAGCAAAAGCTGATGTGGTCGTGTGAAAAAAAAAAAGCTGATGTGGTCGTTTCAAGAAAAAAAAAAAAAATGGGGTTTAGGGAGAGAGCTTCTGGGCTGGTAATATTGGTTGAAATTAGCCACCACTGAAAACAATACTGAAAAATTCTGTGATTTCACAAATGAAATTTATTCAAAACATGTTTCATTGTTCTTAAAAAACTACAAGTGGTACAACAACTCAGTCACAATGCTATACCTGTGGGCAGCTATAAAACATTAAAATTTAAGGAAGTTTTCAGATTCTCTAGAGAACGTACAAATCCATCATATAAAAAATGGCAGCATTTGTAAGAGTTTCAGATGTTAATGAGTAATAGAATCGTATTCTTCTCAAATGAATACAACTAGAAATTATGGTGATTTGATCAAAACTGGTGAAAACTTTGAGAAAATGTTTCATGGGAAAACTTAATTACTGAAGTTCCTGAAGGAAAGCATTGATTGAATGCAGGATTCTCATCAACTGCCAGCTGAAAAACAAGCTACCTCAATTTCCAAGCTTCCTACTTTTCAGGAAATAATATGACTAAGTTTTGAAAAGTAAACTGTAATAAATAAAAAACAAGTGACTACTAAAGAGAAATCATGAACAGGCAATTTTCTTGAAAGCCATTTTGCATTCCGAAAAAACATGTACTTTTGCATTTTCTCCCTGGTTTCAGAGCACTCTTCCCATCTATACCTGGTGTGAGTTTACCTAACCAAACAACTGCCATTATGATTTTGCCTTGCATATACCTCCAAAAGAATGCATGAAATAGCATTTAGGAGCCTCTACCTTTTAGAAATAATTAACAAATGGTAAACACCACAGCGTACACTATTGAGTTATGGATGCACGCGGGAGGTTGCTAAGCACGAAAGAAGCGTAAGAGTCGCTTGAGGCAAGAGCCGAGAGCGACTCTAGCTTCTTGAGTGCTTAGCAAACCTCCCAAGTGCATCCATAACTCAGTAGTGTACGCTGTGGTGTTTACCATTTGTTTTATAACATAACATTGATACATTGTAGCTAAAGAGTTCCCTTTTATATAAAAAATCTTACATGAGCAGAAAAAACAAGCGCGCGTGGAAAAATAGTCTTCGCATTTGCTCACGTCAGCAGCATACACCCATGAGCAAATGGGGGATGCTAAATTGACCAATCAGAGCACGCGCTTTACTTTGGTTATGTTATAATATTTTGTGGAGAAGCATGACCTGAGAGCCCAAGAAGGGGCTCAGAAATTGTCAGCTATATACTCTGTGTAGCTAGCCTTCTACTCTGACTTATTTAGAACCCTGCAATATTAGACTGTCATGACATAGAGTGGCAGCCAGATTACAGGCCTTGAATTGATGTCTGATGAAAGAGTATTTTGGAATTTCCTCTTGTTTTAGTTGAGAGATTTTGAGAGAATTATTATTAACACAAACTGAGGCTGACAAGTTTCTATACTCTCATCAGCTGTCAGGACCACAATGTATGGACATAGATGGGAGAAGTTATCTGTTGATCACTCACTAGAGTTTACCTTAGTGTATCTCTGTTGCATTAGCCCAACAATGGAAGTCAGTTTAAGAAAATCATCAATTTAAAAATAACACTGAGTAAATACAATGATAAGTGGTTTTGTGCAAAAAACTCATACGGCAAGTAACTGTCTATTCCATTAAATAACTCGAGTTTAAAAAAGAGTGACTTAAAATTAGTGAAAATGATCAAGAAAACCCTGACCCCTTTGGCCAATTTTATTATTAATTTTCTATTATTGTTATAATATTAAATATCATTGACATGAATCTGTCATAAATGATTGATACTATTAGCATACATGGTGACACTCTCCTCTTCATCATCAGTGAAACCATCGTCATTTGACGGGAGGATTGCCCGTGATTCTTCTTGAGGTTGTTTGTTTATATATCTCACTTTTGAAATGCCATTTGCTTGGGAGTTTGACTTCATGATGTCTTTTAAAGTGAAGTGGACATCCTTGAATGCATGTAATAGAAACACCCCAAACACAATTGTAAGAAATCCACAAATTGCCCCTATTGTGTCTTTGGAGTCCATTACTTCCCATTCTCGGAACAAAATGGCTGAAGCAATGATTGTTAATGTTGTAAACATGACGTAATATATAGGTGTAACCAACGATGTATTGAATATGTCAAGAGCCTTGTTCAAGTAGTTCATTTGTGTCAAGACACAGGCTAACACTGCAAATAACAATCCCCAAGCTACTGGATTTGATAGTTGACTGTCTCCATGTAATGTCTGCTTGATAACTATGCCGAGACCTTTGCATCCCATGACTGACAGAGATCCAATAAGGGAACAGATTGCAATATACACCATAACATTTGTTTTTCCATGCCGCGGTCCATAGTAAAATATCAAAATAAGTGCGAAGACAACGACAATGAATGCATAACTCACGAATCCTGAAGGAGTAATAAATATATAGTTTTCAATAAATTGTTTTAAACAATAGTCATTGATCATTCATAGAAACCACTGCCTACTACATCAAAGGCTCCTTAGAGCAATCTCATGGTATGAATTTTTGGCTCCCTTGATGTAACCTGCAATCTGGCTTTCTTTGGAAAGTTTTTTTAATCATGGCAACATGCACTGGCACAATTATTGTGTTTGTATGCATTTGATGGAGAAAAATTGTCACTTTTAGGACTCAGATGCCCATTTCTCTGCAGTCAAGTATTCTGTAGCATATTTCCTTTCCATTTTTGGCTCCACAAAGGTATGTTTTGATCAAGTTTGGAATAAAAAAAAACCATCACCCTTTAAGGGACAGGACGCCATTTCGAATCTGTCCAAGTGGTTCGGCCTATTCTCGCCTTTGTACCACCCTCCAAATATATGTACACCGTGACTTTGAGCAGGTAAACTTGTCGGGGAGGGGGAGAAAAAGTGTTTAAAAAAAAAGTTTAAAAAAGTTTGAAAAAGTTTAAATTAAAGTCTAACAAAGCGAGTGAGTGATTTTTAATTGAATTTTGCCCCCAAACCCTAAACCTCATAGCATGACTTGCGTCATACCATGAGGTACAAATGGAAGGTAGAATATTAATTAAAGTATTTAGGGCTTCTGTTGAATTCAGCCAGCCCAGCAGGCATGTTCCTACATCCCAGCCATGAACTCCCATCCCATTCTTCCCAACCATTAACTTCCATCCCATTCTACCAAACCATGGACTCCCATCCTATTCTATCCAACCATGAACTTCCATCCCATTCTACCAAACCATGGACTCCCATCCTCTTCTATCCAACCATGAACTTCCATCCCATTCTACCAAACCATGGACTCCCATCCCATTCTATCCAACCATGAACTTCCATCCCATTCTACCCAACTATGGACTCCCATCCTATTCTACCCAACCATGAGCTTCCATCCCATTTGACCCAACGATGGACTCCCATCCTATTCTACCCAACCATGAACTTCCATCCCATTTGACCCAACCATGGACTCCCATCCCATTCTACCCAACCACGGACTCCCATCTTCTTCTAGCCAACCATGAACTTCCATCCCATTCTACCCAACCATGGACTCCCATCCTATTCTACCCAACAATGAACTTCCATCCCATTCTACCCAACCATGGACTCCCATCCTACTCTATCCAACCAAGAACACCCATCCCATTGATTCTGGGATCTTAGGAGTAAAAGGAAATATATTTATCATTAAAAAATAAACACCTGGTGATGTAAGTTTTGGTTCCAAATTATCCATACTCTTTACTTCCTCTTCCTGTGGTGCATGAATTACCAGTACAGTGGATCCAATAATTGACAGAATACAGCCAATTTTACCATGAAGATTTTGTTG